GTCTTGAATCTGTGGGCTCAGTCAGGCAACCCTTTCACCTTGGTCTCCCAAAGTGCTAGGATTATAGGTGTGGGCCACCATGCCCGGCCCAAGGGCTGCCCTTACCGACTGGTCCGTGGTGAGGGGCGTGTAGCCGGTCATGAGGAAGTGGAGCCGGGGCGTGGGAATGAGCGAGGCGATGAGACCGATGAGGTCGTTGTTCATGTAGCCAGGGTAGCGAAGGGTGGTGGTGCTGGCCGACATGATGGTAGACACCTGGGGATGGGGGTGTCATGTCATGAGCCTTTTCCTGGGTGAGGTTCACCTTTTCCTGACACCCCTCCAGCAAGAATGGCTTGCAGTCCACAGGGCCTGGGGGGTGCTCACCAGCTGGTTGATCTGGGAGAAGGATGGGTTCTGGATGTGCAGGCGGTCTGTGGCAATACGGTTCAGGGCTGTGTTGTCCAGCACCACCTGGGGGATAGAAGGTGACATATTTTATAGAGATAAGAACAACAGAAGCTCTGCCTACCTTAGGCTCTGAAACTTAATTTCCTTTGAGCCTCATGGCCAGGAAGACCCATCTAGAAGGGACTCACACAGGAAGGCCGAATATGAACTTTTAAAATGCACAAAAATGATTCAACAGATGGGAGAAGGTGGGGTGGGGAGTAGACAAATGTAGACTCCAGGCCTCACCACACAGTCTGCGTTTTGGGTCAGCCTCTTGAGCGTTAGGAGTGAGTTGTAAGGCTGGACCACCACGTCACTCATCTCGTCCTGGTTGGGAAACACTGAGTACGTCTGCACCAGTTTCTTGGGGTACCTAGTGGAGGTTGGGAGAAGATCATCAGACTGGAGGCTTGGTGAGCATGGGGCACCCCAACCACTGTCTGTCTGGAAGCAGCTAAGTGTGGATGGGGAAGCTGGGGTGGAGTCATGAGGTCAGTAAAGAAGGGAGACTTTTGGAAGTCTGTAACGCTAGAGGGGAAAGGGCAGAGAGACACCTTAGGGTCTGGGGTTCCAGCTTCACCCCGGCCATACTCCCTAGCTGACTCCCACCACCGGTTCCCACTGAGAGTGTTGTGGGTTCTCAGTCACTGTCACTTCACTTTCCTCATAGGAGGGACTAGAAGGACTCTTTCCTTCCCCAGCAAACAAGAAGGTGTATCTGCAGGGCTCCCCAGTTACTTAGGAAACCAGGCTGGAGGCTGTGTCTTCTTTTATTCCCCCAAACACAGACTTACCTGTCATTCAGCCGCTCTAAGAGGTAGGATCCCAGGCCAGAGCCTGTCCCCCCAGCAATGGAGTGACACAGAACAAAGCCCTGCATGGGGAAGAGGCGATCAGTGTCCAGGTATCTAGTGGCAGGATTACTTTTTATTTTTTTTTAAGTTGGAGTCTAACTCTGTCCCCCAGACTGGAATGCAGTGGCATGCTCCCGGCCACTGCAGCCTCGACCTGCTGGGCTCCGGCGATCCTTCCGCCTGAGCCTTCCAAGAAGCTGGAACAACAGGCGCGCTACCACGCCCGGCTAATTTTTTGATTTATCGTAGAGATGAGGTCTTGCCAAGTTGTCCAGGCAGGTCTCAAACCCGCAGGCTAAGGCAATCCACTCACCTCAGCCTCCCAAAGCGCAGGATTATAGGCTGAGCCACTGAGCCCGGCTAGTGGCAGGATTTCAAACTGGACCCATTCCATAATTTCCTGGACTTCTATTTTCCTGGGCCCTTCCTTCCCCTCCAGGCTCCCCAACTATACAGCTTAGGAGACTGGAGATTGCCTTGTCTCCAGCAAGGCCTGGCAGCTTCTGTCCAGTGTTAAGGGTACATGGGTGGGTCTTGTGCCTAACTGATTCTAAAGGATGTTGCCAAGCCTTCCCTATGTCAGCCCCCACCAGCATTCCTGGGACACTTACCTCTAGACTGTCACTACCATCTGCCTCCCGGTCTATGATATCAAAAATGTCCTCGTGAATCTTCTCTCCCTGTACAGACATGGGGAGGGTCAGAGTAGGACAGGACCATGGGACAAGGATTCTGATCTCAGAATAGCCACTCTTGAGTCTCCTTATAGCACCTAAAAGTCCTTTTTTGGAGTAGAGCTGTCCTGATTTTTAACTGCACTGAGAGGCAACACAGGACAGTGGTTACAAGCAAGCACTCCACACCCAGACTGCCAGTGTTCACATATCAGTTCTGGTTCTATTGAGTTGAATGACTCTGGGCAGCTTATTCAATCTCTCTCTTTTTTTTGAGTTGGAGTCTCACTCTGTCGCCCAGACTGGAGTGCAGTGGCTGCTCCCGGCCACCGCAGCCTCGACTTGCTAGGCTCTGGTTATCCTTTCACCTCAGCCTTCCAAGTAGCTGGAACTACAGGCGTGCACTACCACACCCGGCTAATTTTTTGATTTATTG